TTTTTTTTTTTTTTTTTTTTTTTTTTCCATTTTATTAAACAAACATTTAAATTCTTAATCAAATTTTAATATAAATTATAGATTTTTCAAAACTAAAAAAAATAGTTTTTAAAATTTGGTTAATAATTTGAATGTTTTTTTAAAATATATATGAAAATAATGGTAAAAAAATATGAAAAAAAAAACCCAATTTTTAAAAATAAAATAATTATAGAAAAAAGAAATATGAATGATAACTTAAAATTTACAAGAAAAAGAATGGATCCCAAATAATCATTAATGAATACAATAAAGTTGTTGGCACATCGATGTCAAGTTGACCCTTATCAAGATGAATTAAATGGATATTATCGTTTCAATAAAATATATATATAAAAAAAAGGGTTGTTTGAAATTAATTTTAAGAAAATACACTCTTTTTTTTTTGTCATTTTCAATGCTTCTATTTAATAGAGGCATTATGGTTTTGTTTTTATTTCTTTTAAAAAGATTAGCTTTCCCATGTTATTATTAAATCCAAATAAATAAAAACAATTAAATAAATTAAGCATAATAATTTATTGTAAGAATAACTTTCCAAGTGTTAAAAAAGCTTGATCCTACGTGGATTAAAAAATTGGAATCAATAAAGTGGTGTTTGTACAGTCAGCAAAAACATAACATCAAATAACTAATTAACTAATTGTTGTCATGTCGTTTTCAAGTGCATAAAGCCTTTCTAACTATTTTTTTATGAGGAAAAAAAAGAAGAATAGATAATATTAGATTCCTCTTATATTTTACTAAGTTAAAAGTCAAAGAGATGCTAAATCTAACCAATAAATTATTCAAACTTACCCATAAAATCAAGCCATAACTAAGTAAATTTATTTACATTTCAATAAAGGATATGTAGTGGTTGGGTTGCGAACTTGTATTAGTCGCTTAACGCCTAACTCGTCGTTGTAAAACTTATTTGATTCCCGAAAAGTAGCACGCAAGAATTGTTTGGGATCGGGCACGACCCTTCTTCCTTTGCACCGGACCACTAGATGTGCAAATCTTGTTATGAAAGAAAGAACTATAGTGAATGGTTTAAAAGTGCCACAAGTTAGTGATATGAACCAATAGACATCATTCATACAATATACTTCAATGAAAATGTGAATAAAATATTGTTGAAATTATCAAAAAAATATTTCAATTCATGCCTGAAGAAGAAAGAAATTTCATGTTTTGAATTTGGGTGAATTACAATTTAGAGTTATTGTATTTCATTAATGTATTTTAGGACTTTTAATTTACTTTAAATTACAATTATATAATGATTAATTAAGGTCATTAAGTATGAATGTTAAACTCTTAGAATGCCTTTAGTAATTTCATTTTGCTATGTCATGTATGTTGTATTTGTAAGTAGACCGAAAAATATACATAAAAGGAGCATTTGTGCTTTCTTTTGGCTAAGTTTATTTGCAATTCTATGTAGTTTAGATTGCATGTAGAATCATTCAAGCTCGACATGATCAATCTTGTTTGTAGAGTGATTCGAATCTCAAACAAGTGTTTGAGATATTTGATCAACAAAAATCATTCAAACTAGACATGATCGATCTTACTTGTGGAATGATTTGAATCTTAAACAATGTTCTTGCCTTAAAATATTCGATCAACAAAGTAATCCGAATCTTACTCTCCTTGTAATGATTCCTTATCATATCAAGTTGTCTAGCTATAACTAGACATATCGATGACGACTCAAAATTAAAAGCTTTTATGACTCTTTTTGTCTGCACACGACCATAAGCTATCTTGGCTTATCTACCCTCGAATGGAACATCAGTTTGACTCAACATGATTGACCGTGGGAGCACCCGATTAGCGGGATTATCATCCAATGTTTCTCAATAAATCAAACCAACCAGTTAAAAGACAGCACTTTCAAACCATTCTCATATGCATTGAGTGCTTCATTCTAGTCCAAAGGATTTTTAGAGTTAATGCAATATCTATTTACATTGGTTGGAGAGGAGAACAAAACACTCTTTATAATGATGTGAAACCTTCCACTAGTAGATGCGTTTTAAAGCCTTGAAGGGGTGGCCGAAAGGGAAAGGCCATATATTAGAAGGATTGGAACTTCATATCACAGGCTAATCGAGATCCTCATGAAGCAAAAACAACCTGCTGCTAAGAAATATATACACTCAAAACACGAGGAATTTAGGAATGATAACTAACTTCGAACAATTTACCGTTTGGGTTTGGATTTGAATAAGAGTAAAACTTCGTGTAATTACAGATTCACCTGGATTAAAGCTGACTTGGGTTATAGAGATCAAAAACATAAATATGAAGCCATAAATCAGGTAACCAGACAATGGCTGGTGAGCTCAACTCATTAGTGTCAAGTTTAGTCACTTAGCTCATCGTCGTAGAACTTAACATCGGCATCATTGTCGGTGGAAGCGCCTCCATTGGCAGGGTTGACATCCAATGGTTCGACATTAGTCAAACAAACCAGTTGAAGACAGCCCTTCCGCGCTGCCTCTGTAGTCCCGTCCTCATAGTCAATCAAATCATTCTCATATGCATCTAGTGTCTCCATTCCAGGACAAAGGATTTCCTGAAATACATAGGGGTTTTCAACTCCAGAAGGATGCCAGAGGACACATATTAAAAGGACGATTATTTAAAACAGTGAGACTCACTCAAGAACATCTTTCACATATTTCTCTTTTCATGTGTTGAATCACAAATCCAAGAACTTAATCTGTCATGGATTTCAGATTAACGTTTTGGAATTGAACACTCGAGCCCGATGGGTAATCTGGTGGTATAGGCATTAGATATTTGGAGATATCCTATAAGGCTATAACATTTGGGTTTAACCCCACATTCAAAACTTCATTTCTTAAAATCCATGTCTCCTAAAGTTGGCTGTGAGAACGAAACATTATTTATAAGGGTATGGAAACCTCTCCCTAGTAGACGCGTTTTAAAAACCTTGAAGGGAATCCCGAAAGAGAAAGCCCAAAAAGGACAATATCTACTAGTGGTGGGCTTGGACGATTACAAATGGTATCAGAGCCAAACATAGGGCGATGTGCCAGCGAGGAGGCTGAAGCCCCAAAGGGGGTGGACATGAGGCAGTGTGCAAGCAAGGGAACAAGTGCCAGCGAGGACATTGGGCCCAAAAGGAGGTAGATTGTGAGATCTCATATTGGTTGGGGAGAAAAACAAAGCATTCTTTCTAAGGTTTGAAAATTTCTCCCTAGCCGACGCGTTTTAAAAACCTTGAGGGGAAGCCTGAAAGGAAAGGCCTAAAGAGGACAATATCTGTTAGCGAAGGGCTTGGGCTATAGTTAGGGTGATTCAATTTTTTTTTTGTTGGGGTTAGTTTTTTTCTAATAACCTAGTATATTCTTCCATTTCTCTTCATGAAAGTGTGGTTTTTTTTCCTATAACTAAAAGGAAAAAACAAAAAAATGCGACACTTGGAAGACGTAAGGCATGCCTTCCACTATATGAAGTCTATGGATTGCAGTTCATTTGCATATAATGGAATCTCTATGCAGGTAAAGATGGTGGGACTACATACCTCATCTTCTTGCATGCCTTGTTTCTGAGGTTCCACAATCCAATCATCCAACAAATGTTCCATAAGAATATCATCAAGAGAAACGGAGTCACTAGATCGCTTTCTTAGTTGGCGTTCTCGAAGCCGAAGGTTGTAGTGAACATACAACAAATCAGCCATTTTTCTCTGAGACAGAGCATTGTTCTTTTGACTGCGTTCATTCTTGAAAGGGGACCAGTAATGCTCACAACACAAAGATGAACATGTTTGACTCAGTATGCGAACAGCTATTTGTTGCAGTTCTAAACAACTAATTCCATGTTGTTGCCACCATGCAGCTATTCAAGCAAAAATGAAACTGATAACTACGATTCAACTATCAACAAAAACGGAGTTTTCATTACTTTGCTTATATTTAATACTGAAGGAAAATGCAGCAATCACCTGGATCAAGCTCTGTTCTTGTACTAATAGCCAGCTCAGTTCCAAAATCAGATTTTGCTGAATTATAGTCAGAAATCTGGGGACAGCCAATATCGAAGTAGTGAAGATTACACAAAATCAGGACAATCAACAGGCTCGTAAAATAACCCATCCATTACCTGCATAGAGGCAGAAATCCTTCTGGAACTGTCAGACTCGAGCCGAACTATGCATTCGTTAAGTCCGCGAACCACCTCCGAATGCTGCACGAACAAAGGAAATGTAGCTGAGAAAAGAGATTATCACGAGTTTGGAACACTAACAAGTAGTTATTTTCATACCGCCACGAAATCAGGACGATATCTGTATGATGGGTTTAAGAAAAAAGCAGCCATATGTAAAGGGTGGCAAAATAAAGAATTCCAGTTGCTATCTATCACATTCCAGAATGGTCCATATTTCCTGGCGTCATCGCCATGAATGGATTGTATAGCGAACTTGGCCCTGTACATGTCATTATATATAGATGACATCGACAAGCTTTGAACCGAATCGGCTTTTTGAAGAACTTGCAATACTGGTTCCACAGATTTAGAAACATATTGAACCTTCTTCCAAAATGAAGTATTTAATACAATCATCTCTACTTCTTGTCCCTCACCAGATTTAGAAAACCTGCAAGAAGTCCACTCATTGGAGACGAACATTCTCCGTAAACTAGCTCTGTGGTCCAGCAAGCACTGCAAAGTAGCAAAGTTCGAGGCGTTCCGAGTAACTGCAGGTCTAAGAAGTTCCAACCCTTGGGTGAACTCGTTCTTCATGAAATTTAACAACCAGTTCTGATTGTAAATAAACTTGGTAATTTTTTGGCACTTTTCCATGCAATCTTCCACGGATCTCAATTTCGAAAAATCTTCAAGCATGTGATCAATACAATAGGTCGCACATGGCGTCCAGAATAAATTTCTTCTCTTCTCCTCGAGCATTTTACCAGCAGCTTTATAATTAGGAGTATTCTCAGTGATTACCTAAAGAAATAATGGAGAAAAACAAACAATTATCAGCAAGGACACTGGCAATAAAGAATAGAACTACGAGATGATTGCAGACACTACCTGCACCACATTTTCCTCCCCAATTTCATCTACCACTGCATCAAGCACTCTAAACAAGTTTGAAGGGTCGTCTGCTACTTCAGTGGCATCGACTGATGAGACAAAGTAAACACCACGGGGACAAGAAACCAAAAAGTTTATAGATGTTTGACCATCTGAATCCTTCCGACTGTCCACCAGTATCGAACAACCAGTAATTGCCCAGGAGGCCTTCAACTCAACCAGGTAAGTCTTAACGGTTGCCACTTCGTCCTGTAATAACCGACCAGATATCAATTGACACGAGGGGCCAACCAAGCCTGATCCATATTGACCGACTGTCTCCAACATCTTATGAAAGTAAACAGAATTTGCAGACTGAAAAGGAATTCCTGCATAGCAAAAGAATTTGCAAATTGCAGACATCACTTCTTTGCGTGACCTCCTATTGGCTCCTCTTTTTACTAATGCTTGTTTGTGCAACTGTTCGGTTTGTCTTTTGGTAGTTTTCAGAAAAACAGAATCTAACCTCGATCTTTTAACCGACGGTTCAGATACACCACCAGGGGACATTCCCCTAAAGGTACTTCTCAAATCTTTGCTCGACCTTTTGTCACCATCGATCAATCTTTCCTTGCTAATATGATGCAAGGATTCCTCTTTCTCGTCTTCCTCTTCTTCATTATCTGATTGCATAAAATAAGCCGATAACTCGTTGGCATCGGTCTGTCCATTTCTCCTGCCAGTACGATGCCATTTCATATTCTCTTTGATCTTAAGATACACTTCCTCAGGAGCGTGTTTACACGGGGCTACCTCTCCAGGAATTCTGGCTAGATGTTGCTTAAACCTATTAATACCTCCACTAACTATCTTTTCACAGTAGTTGCACTTAACCTTCTTCTTCCTTTCGTCCTGAGCCACACCGTGTTCCCATCCAGGGTCAACATATCTTAATGACCTTAGAGGAGTCATGTTAGCACCGACGTTTCTGCTTACCATCAATTGCCTTCCTCTATTTCTATAAGCCACATGTAAACCCCCATCTTCATCATCATTGGAATGGAAGTTCAAATATGATTGTTCATCATCTTCCGACTGTCTTGGTTTCTTATTGGAACGACAACCTTCCAGGTTTTCTCTCATTCTCAAATATACTTCCTCTGGAGCCTTGTCACAATACGTAACTTCCCCCGAAACTCGAGCCAAATGTTGCTTCAACCTATATATGCCACCACTAACTATTTTCCCGCAATAATTACATTTAACCTTCTTTTTCTTTTCATCTTGAGCAACTCCATGCTCCCAACCTGGATCAATAAATCCACACGTGCGAATAGGGGCCATCATTGGTAAAACACCAAGGTAAATGCAACTAATCTCCTCGACCAATCTAACCGAGCAGAAGTCTAATGCACATCTGCTAGAGATCGGTCAGCACATATTCTGAAAACTCCGCTAACAATGTGATCGATCAAAAGGTACCTAAAATTAACTGTCAGAGAAATTTATGGTGACACCATTAGACATTCTACATTGATTCCTCTTCATGTTGCCTATCAATACCTATTATAAAACAACAATGACATCCTATATATTGGGATTTTCTTAGCTAAACAAAGAAATATGAAAATCAAAACTGTGAATAGAGAAGCAAGCAATCTTCATAAACAAAAAGTATGAACTTAGAGGTACGGTAAACACAGCTAACCCTAAGATAAATAGAATATTAATCGATTTGACCATACCAAGCATCACATAAAATGGTTATACTATAAGAAAACAGACTATAGTTCACCAAAATAAAGCAAGAAAAGCTGAAAACAAGTCAGAATCCCTCATAACAGTTTGGAATTTCATCGAACAGGTGATACACAGAAAACACAAAATTTAAACAGGAACAAAAACTGAAAACAATCATATGAAACTCACTTATAAATTGCAACGATAAACAGGAACCATACAATCTTCAATAGCGTGAATGTGAAGAAATCCCGACCCCTTTCAGAATCTTTCCAGCGGTTTCACCGGCATTCATAATCTTTGAATACTTTCTGAGAATCAAAAAAATGGGGGGGGGGGGGTTG